GTCCGTGTGTGTAGTGATGTCATAGATTTTAGCGAACGTAATCAATGTATCACTGGTAAATTATTAAGTCAGGGATTTCGTTACCATAAATTACTTAAAACATTTACTAAACTATTTCATAGATACAAAGATTTGATTAGTAAATTTGTCTGTACCTGTAGAAAACTTATTAAAAAGGGTATTTCACATCCTACATTTTACGGAAAGATTGTACTATTTTTTTGGATTTATATATACACATCCGTGTCTATTTTCTATTTAGAAATTGTTTTATCTATATATAACATCATACATATTTATTACAAGGTTAAATCCTAACTATCCTACTGCCTGTCGTTACTTTTATTTTGGCATTGCACTAGTCAAGTCTTCTTTGACTGTCCATGGCGTTAAAACACTAAATCCTTGCCTGGGATGTGTTTTAATTGATTTTAGTCTCTGATGCATGATTTTTTATTATTAATTGTTTTTTGGCTTTTAACTAGCTTTCAGTAACTGCGAGTACTCTCAAATCGTACTTTCGTGTTATTTTGAACTGTTGACACAATTTGTAATGCATTTCTGTTTACTTATTTTCCGTTATATCTTGTCTTACTAATTTCAATATGTATCAACTTTGATAATTATTTAGTATGACAAAAAAATTTCACTTCTGTACTCGTACTATGAACAACAAATTTATTTTGTAAAAATATGTTTCTGTACTCCTAACAACAAAATTATTATATTTAAATTTACCTGTGTACGTTACTTTATTTAACGCCATTTTATCCTAAGTTAAAGTTGTCTTTTTGACATTGATACATCTTTTTTATTTATATTGTGTCATAGATCATATATTATGTTGTAATGTTACACCACTGTTTCAGGTTAAGGTGAAGGTTGGCGCCTGTTAAAACGTTTAAACCCGCTGCATTTGGATGCACCTGTCCTAAGTCAGGAGCCTGTTGTTCAGTGGTTGTCGTTTGTTGGTGTGGTTCATAAGTGTTTCTCGTTTCCCTTTTTTTATATAGATTAGACTGTTGGTATTCCTGTTTGAATTGTTTTACGCAAGTAATTTTGGGGCCCTTTATAGCTAGCTGTTCGGTGTGAGCCAAGGCTCTGTGTTGAAGGCAGTACTTTGACCTATAATTGTTAACTTTTTACACATTGTGACTTGAATGGATAGTTGGCCATTCATGAAATAAAAGTTTTTGCATGAAATTTTATAGGAATTTGTTTTGAATATATTTATATACTCTCTTTTGACAGAATGAGTATATTCAGATGTGATATCATTAAGTAATGGAGAAAAAAAAACTTTTTCTTGCACAAACGTTCTGTGGCTCCTTTAAAAATTAAAACATTCATTCGTACGAGTTGATGTAGAGTAACCTACGATCAGCTTTCATACTAAGATTATTTTGTTGGTAATAAGAACCCCGGACCTTCATAAAAAAACATTTTAGTCCTGTGGTCTGTATATTTTTTTGCACGGAACAAATTTGAATTCCCATCGAAGACTCCAACGATCAGATTTTCGTGAACATTTGAATATCATTCTAACAAAATATAATTCGTAAAAATATATCAAGAAGCATATGAATCCGGTCTTGTATGCAAAATTTACGTTGATTTGAGTCAGAGTAGCTTTAGTGGAAACATTGATATTTATTTTAGATTTTGTCATACCTGAACACGTATAACAAAAGTTACGGAATCTATATTCTTTTACTACAAATGTAGCAAGAAATTTCAATGAATTTGGTCTTACTCCACTATTTTTTTTTTTTTAGGACGCATATTTGAGACAATTCTGTATAAACGTTTATTTGCAACTTTATACATGCTGATTTCAAAAGTATCTTGTATAGCCACCCCTTACAATTATTTGAAATTGTACTCACTTCTTTTTCGGTTTCTGTGTTTCAATATATATCCATGAATTTTTTGATATGTTCACAATACATCTGTTTTGGAATAATAAATCATGTGCACAACACTAAACTAGTCAATTGTTACACGAGATAATGTACAGGTTATTATGTCAACATAACAGTTACAGTGTAATAATAACCTTTAAACTGAGTGCACTCGTTTAATTAGTCTAGTATAAAAGGTATTGTGAACACATTTAATTCATGGAAAGATACTGAAACACAAATAAAAAAAAAATAAGTACAATTCTAAAATCGCTGTGATCCGCCTATTCGTTTTTCAAATCAACAGAACGCTGCATTTAACAGGTCGGGCACCTTTCCTTATACGAACATGTATTATTTAACATACTTATACCCCCGTCAATGCATGTATTAGTGTTTGTTTACAAATAAAGCATTTTTTTTAATTTTTGGCGATTGACCAATCCAATGAATAATTTGCATTGCATTATGGGCTACTTAAATTTTCACTTGCCAGAAAAAAAAAGTCTTACTTTTTTTCTCTCGATTACTTGGTGATATCACCTCTGAATATACTCATTATTTCAAAAGAAACATTTTGCAGTAAGTATATTAATATATTCAAAACAATTCCTATATACTTTCATGCAAAAAAATTATTTCATGAATGAACATGTGTAAAATAGTAATAATGTATATCCCCATTGAGAGGCCCCTGACATACTGTAATTGCGTTTGTGTTTGTGTTTATTTATACACTCAGGCACACATTGTGTGCAACAAGAGTAACATGATATAGTATACAAAATAATAAATTGGTCAATAAATATGACAAAGAAAACAAAACGCAACCCTTTTATCACTACGGGTGAAAAAGAGGTTTTCATTATTTGTGAAATATGTTCAGGAAAGTACTAGGGTAGAATTAAAAAATCAAGATAGATATCATTATTAATAGAAAGTTTATGCACTTCGCATTTAAAATAATATTGGCCAGGTTTGACGGATCAGGTACGTCAAAATTAATTCTGTTCCGCTTAAGACTTTTCTGTTGTTTTGGTATTGTCCATGGAATATTAGTGGGTCGGGTTGAGTTTATGAATGAATTTCTATCGGATAAATTATCGGGGTCATGAATTTGAGTGTTTCTGTTCTGTATTTCTTTGTAATCCGTGTGTTTTAGTTCTCTGTCATCATTTGGTTTGTATAGTTCTCCTTCTATAAAAGTTTATCTCTTACCAATACAGCCTTCTTTCGGTCTTTCCTTGCCTGCTTTAACACAGGATATAGGTTTTTCCTCTTCTTTTCAATTTTTGCCGGAAATTGCGCTCTGACAGAAATATTTGTCCCCTTTAATTTGTGACAGTTCCTCAATACTAACTGCTTATCTTTCCAAACTACAAATTTAGTCATTATTATTCTTTGATTATTTTGTCTTTGCTTTCCAATACGATGTACCGAGACGAAATTGATATTTTTACCGATTCCAAGTTTTTTGCGAATAAAATCCTTTACAGTGTAATCTTTATCCTCATTTGGTTCCTGTTTTATTCCGGATGTAATTATATTGCTATTCAGAGATCGCCATTCTAACTCTTCAACATCACTCTCAAGATTTATCAATCGCTCATCGACGCATTTAATATCGAATGTGTTGTCTTTATCGCTGTTTACTTCTTCTAACAATGATATTTTCGACATATTTTCTTTGCAGCGATCTATAACTTTATGCACGACCGCACCCATGTGTTCTACATTTTCATCAATCATTTTATGTCGGTTAAAAGCAATTTCGCACTTCTGTTCAACATTTTCAATTCGTGTTACCATTGAATCTAATTTCCCCTCAAGGATATCCTAGTAACTTCACGCTCAAGCTTTCCGCATTGTGTCTGGAGATCTGCCACGACAGCAAGTACAGAGTTCAATATAGTGATAGTTTTGGTATCAAATTCTTTGTAGTCAGACATTGTTATTCAAAATGCATGTAATAAAATTATTGTTTTTGCAATTGAACGTTGAAAGAACAATGGAGCACAATTAATCGCCTCTAACAACGCGACGACGTTAGCAACGCTCTTGTAGTGAACAAACTATTTAGAATAATCTTTATTGTCCTAAAATCTGCGAAGTTGCTGAGAAATTAATGTTACCGTTCAAATAAGATCCTTAAAATCTGTGACTCCAGTCCATTTGATTAGTTTATGCGCTGGCCTAGATCTTGAAATTTATAGTTTTTGCAGGAACAAAAAAGCATGACTGTCCTCGCTAGTACATCCGGGTAAAGCGTGAAGTCTTTGTTGTCGACAGCTAGTGACCGTTACGATATCATTTAAATATCAGGTGTCCATGTCCACACTGTTATGAAATTCATTCTATATCCAATGCCAACTTATTCACAACAAGTAAAACAAGGGCATTGACAGAAAACTCTAAATAAATGAACTTTGTGTAAGACCGATAGATTTTCTATGTTGAATATTGGAATAAAATTAAGAGATTTGCTAATATAATGTATTAGTATAAAGTATTATTTCAAATGCTTCATTCTTAATCCTGTTAATGGTGGCTTAGAGCAGAGATGTTATGTTAAGATGTTTTTTTCTTTCATTGTGTGTTGGACCTCCGTGGTCGAGGGATCTAAGCAGTTCTTCTACAGCTATTACTAGCCTGTCAACACTGAGGTTGTGAGTTCAACTCTGATCATAATTGACTAGGATTGCCAATTTCCTGCCGAAGGTCGATGGTTCTCTCAGGCTTCCTTCACCAATAAAAACTGGCTTCCACGATTTAGTTAAGAGTGGCGTTAAAAAACAGTAAATCAATCTTTCAGTGTGATGTTATTGATTCGTTAATGTCAGTAATAATTTGATTTCGAAAAAAGGGTACAAGTCTGCTCTCTGCACTTTCTCTCCGAAAAATATAAATGCACCATCAAATATAGAGTTCAATTTTTAAATTACAAAATGAAACAAAACACCCTTCTTGAAATAAAAACAAAAAATGCCATAAGTGTAAAATAACGAATTATCAATATTATCTTACATTTTGAAAATGTCCACCGCTTAAAATTCACGTGTCATGTTGAACAGATTGCAAAATTATACGAGATTATAAAACTTACTCATTAAAAACCTGTTGACTTCTTTCAAATTCTGTGTACATTTTAGTTCTGAAGAATTTATAAGTCGGAAATGGAAGAAGAAATGATTGTTGCATTGTTGTTAACATGTCCTCTAGCGCTTTGATCAACTTGGTATTTGGAGAGCTGTCGAGGCATCCCAATCTCTTATTAAAGCACAACATTCCGACGCCTGAAAGAAGCAATAACTGGTTTGTGTATTTTTATAATTTTTTCTTTTATCAGTATTTACTTTTACACAATAAATTACTTTAGCAGCGTTGTTATGAGTTTATGATATGATCATTATGGGTCTCTTTACTACATGTATGTTCTTAGCATGGGTATTGTCATGATTATGTTGTCGCATCTGCATCCACTCACTATCTCAAATGTTGTTGGGTTTTATTTGCTGTTATATTTATACGTACCATTTTTTCCCGTCAAAGTTATACATGTATACTAAATATTGCAACATTCAACAGCATTTGCATGCTTCAGTCTGATATTGAATTATGAACTGATATTTTTTTATATAAAATAAGGAGATGTGGTATGTTTGTCAATAAGACAAATATCCACCAGAGACGAAATGACGTCGAAACTAGCAACGCTATAGGTCACGTACGTCCTTTTACCATAAACAAAACCCATACCGCATGACAAGCTATTAAAGCTGACAAATGTAAAACAATTCAAACAAGAAAACTAACGGCCTGGTTCATGTGCAAAAACAAAAAACAATTATGATATACAGCGGTAAACAATAATCATTGAATTTCAGGCTCCTGAAATAAGACATGCATATACATGTACATAATGTGGCGGGATTAATAAAATTGAGAATGGAAATGGGGAATGTGTCAAAGAGACAACAACCCGACCATAGAGCAGATAACAGCCGAAGGGCACCAATGGGTCTTCAATGCAGTGAAGAAACTAAAATTAAAAATGATACAAGACTAACAAAGGCCAGAGGCTCCTGACTTGGGACAGGCGCAAAAATGCGGCGGGGTTAAACATGTTTTTTGAGATCTCAACCCTCCCCCTATACCTCTAGCCAATGTAGAAAAACAAACGTACAACAGTACGCACAGTAAATCTCAGTTCAAGAGAAGTCCGAGTCCGATGTCAGAATAGGAAACAAAAGAAAATAAACCAAAAATGACAATAATACATAAATAACAACAGACTACTAGCAGTTACTGACATGCCAGCTCCAGACCTCAAACGTGTTTGCAGGTGTCCTAATACCCCTTACCTGGGGCAGAAGTATAACAACACAGCTTAAGAATATACTGTAAAATTCAATTGAAAAGGGCTTGACTCGTCAGATCAATACAAAGGACAAAAACACTAAAGACACAAAATAGCCATCTGATAATTATCGCAGTTACTCAAAGCTAGTTCAAAGACGATACAAATTAATAAACAAAATCATGTATCGGAGACAGAAATATAAAATTAATAAAACTTCGTACTTTCTGTGGTGTATTTAAAGAGTTCCTCCAGTAAATCTGTCACTGTATATTGTTGTCTTAGACGTTTTACAAAGTCATTAGTCACATTTCCAATCATAGGAACATAATCAGCAACCACTGTAGGTTTGAGCATCTTTTCTTGGGCTGGCCGTCGTAACGCTAACCATTCTTCTCCTTGCCTAAAATCATAAGAAAGTGTTCACGATTAAGTACTATAAAGATAATCTATTAGAAATGCGACAAATATTGCTTTTATGAATGGTATCTGCGTATATATTGTATGCAGTTGTATTTGTCCGATGCTAATGATATATTTTAAACAATATACACATTGAGGGCCTATGGGAATTAAACATATGGTAACGCTGACCATACCCAAAAAAGTAGGACAGTAATGGCCGATTACCCTTATCAGCGATACCCGGGGTGCAATGTTTTCAATGATGTTCGATTAACATAGAAAGTAATCGGAAAATGATTGGGTACCCTTCATTAATTCTTCATATTATTTTTATCAATCATTTGAATTCTTATTAACTCATACGACCGAATTCTACATAGATTTACCTTTTTGATGGTATTAAAAAATCCAGTTTATTTTATCTCATGTGTAGGTCTCCGATTTTTTTAAATTTCATTATCTAAATTCCCTTACTCACATCAGTAAATATCAATGAATTACCTCAAAAGAAACGAGACAGCGGTAACAAAAAAAGTTGAAGAACACTTAATATGCGGAGGAAATACTATTTACCTGTACAGTTGAATACTCCTGTCAATAAGCTATATTTTGATGTCAGAAAACTTAGTTCAAATTAAGAAATTCTTAGGTCCCCGGTGTTGTGAAAAGTGGTCTTTGAAAAAAAATAACCAACACAGATTTAATATACGAAAACAACGTACATTAGCGAGATCATACTGTTAAACATGTAAAATAAATTCCGGTTATCTTAAATAAATGAAATATACATAATAAGTTCAAATTCAAAGTGTTCGCTGCGGCTATTTTTTATTGTTCAAATAGAAACGATGAATATTGCATACAAAATAAAATTATATTTAATTATATTAAATTGTATTCGTCGGGATATCTCATCTGTTCAAAGGACATAATGGAGTTTTACTTTAAGGGTTCTTGTTCATTATAGTACATAGTTCGTACAATTTCATATAATAGAAACTATAAAGATATTTTGTTATTGATATTTGGTGAAACGTATTTAATGATAAATGATAAAGTATAAATTTTACATTTAAATAATAATTAACGATTCGCTGTTCAATTTTTTTTTTCAACCGTAAAACATTTTTCCATTAATTGTATTTCGATAATATTTAAAGAAAACAAAAAGGTGTTTTTAAAAAATGTTCGAAATTGATATATTGTCAAATGAATTTTATTATCAGCAGGCACCCTGTCGCTAGATTGTCTTTCCTATCTCCAATTACAATGTCTTATATATGCTCAACAGGATGCCACTCTTTGTTTTATTCAATTGAATCTGATACAATACAACTTGTGTTTATTGGTGACATATGTACTCGTAATGAATGTATGCACGGTTTATTGTGGAAGTATCATTCTGTAATGACATTACATCAATGTGGTGGAACTATCAAAAACAAATTTTAGAACTCGAAAACTTATGCAAAAAATCCTTCAAATCACCCTTTTTTAGGGAATCGTGTTGCTCGCTCTTTAGTTTGACACCTTCTGAGTGTTTTTGTGACCTTTTATTCATATCTTCATTACGTTGATTAGTTTTATTTATGTATAGATAGTTTAATTTGCTGGTTTTATTTTTGTATTTCTTCTTTTATTTGTCTTTTTCTATATATATGGTTTTTTAAGTACTTAATAGTGTTATACAAAACACAGGTAAGTTGTCACTCGATCATTTTAGAAATACACTGTTCAAAATGTTCTTGTGTGAAAAATGTAACGCTTACAACACATGGAATGTTGGTTTCTGTTATAATAATGAATGTGTTGTCATTGTAATTGCATATTAAAAAGCCGATTACTGAAGATCTGGTGACAAATTTTAATCGTATGCACAGCACAAGAAGCCCTTCTTCGTTGATATGTTGGGTTTTCCTTGTATTTCAAAACTCTTTTTATCTGGTGCACATGCCACGACTCATAAAAACTAACTTATATCTATTAATTTAGTTTTGTCCGACGAATTTTGTGACGAAAATTGAATTATTGTAAATGAATGAATATATATAGCCTATTGTCAGAAAGCTAGATTTTGTATGTTGGTGTTTATAAGTTTATTTAGAACACAGCTAATATTATGCCATGCAGTTTTATTTAAAAAAAACAAATAAATAAATGTAATTTCATTATTAATGGTGATTTAACTGCAATAAGCAACGGTTCGGTACCAATTTCATCGTCTCTGTTACATAAGGACAAATGAAAATATAAAATTTCATGGTAACAAGGATGTCATATAATCTCCTGGTTTGTAATTTTTAAAGATCTATGAACATCAAAACTCATGAGATACGTTTTATGACTGTTTGTTAAAAAAATGTCATTCTAGATCAATTAACAAAAATTATGGATTTTTTCCCTAATTTTTCGATATAATTTCCCCTTCGTACATTGATTTATAATCTCGACGCAGTTTCGCTCTCAATATCATAGTCCTTTTAAAGACCACTAAACTTACTCAAGTATTGTAATTTATAACTCCCGTGAAGACGCTAATTTAATAGTTATCAGCGACATGTCAACAAGATTAGTAATTGCAACGACATATATTGGAAGGAGTAAGGAGTTATTGTTAATTATCTACTGCCCAATATAAAAAGATTGGGTTATCTCGCTTCAAAATGTGACATATTTTTGCACATGCTTATTACCACAAAACACAGATCAAGTTCGAATTTGGGTTGCGTCACTTTTACCGTTCTTGAGTTATGTCCAGGCCGTCCGACAGTAAGACCAATGCCGAATGAGGGTACATTTATCCACTTCCAGTCGGAATGTAGACATTAACTCCTATAATACGTGCTGGGAGAGTGACGTGTCTACACGTAAACATTTTGACAAGTCTATTCTTGGCATGTGTCATGGCACAGTTTTATCTTTTTTAAACTTTCATGTAAATACAGTCCAAATCTCCCGTCTCTCATTCCGATCGTGTATACAATATCTGATTTGTTGTTTATTTTTCTCTCGTTCTGATAATGCATGAAACATTTGTCACTGACCGTAAAGTGACAAGCATGTATGACAAGGGAAATTTATTTGTACTACAAAACAGAGATGCAAAAGATTTTATGATTTTGTTACCATTCAATACAAAACAAAACAAAAGCTATATTACAAAACACATGCATAAGTAAAATGTCCCAATAGTAATATGAGTCCTTTTACATAATTCATTAGACGCTGGAAATTTTTTCCTTTTTAATATTATTTGAAAACTTCAAACTATATTGTAAAATACATATGATATAGATATAAAAAGATGTGGTATGAGTGCTAATGAGACAACTCTCCATCTAACTCACAAGATGGATGTCAGTTATCTTTGCTAATATTTACAATAAACTCAGTCCTTTTTTAGTTCCAGTTCTCTTGTGGTACACCTCCATTATATCGAGACCAACTCTAACATGTTCTTGGTATGGATGTTGGAACACGGTTTTAGCCAAGTCAGGATGTGATATATACACAACAAAGTCTTTCCCCATGCGTAGTCGCATAATATCGCCATATTTGTTCTTAAGATTATCAATCACAGTTGTGATGTCATTTATGGTGTAAGGGCCTACAAAAGAGAAAGAAATAACACCTTTTTAATCATTTCTTTCAATGTATATCTTAATATGTTAACACTTGAAGTAATATTGAGTACATTAAGTGATAACGCTTGCATATAGATAGCTAGTTAAAGAGCTTAGAAAAGCAGTATTTACCACACCCAAAATGTCACCGGGGTATACCAATATGGTCAATTAGGTCTTCTACCGACCGACAGTAAAACCCTTGCCAAAATAGTGCGTCCAATTGACTGTGTGGGATGTATAAATACGCATCCACGTCCGGTCAGAATGGGGACGTTAAATCTACTGCCTCGTGTAGATAAAGCGCCACGCTCTCTGCACGTTCAGGACCCTTGTAACAACTCTTGAAGGAGTAAGAAGATGTCCTGTTGCGAGGCAAAATTTCTGTCAATACCCAATATACCTTTTTGCCAGTGAAATTCAGATTCCCCGTCCACCATCTCGATCGAAAAGCAAACATAAATCAGTCAATGAGTCTTATAAAGAGTCAATTGGTGCTTTTCATACAATGACATTTTTGAGGATTTTGGATTCAACAGTAACTGTCTATCTATTATACTTTTCAAGATAGTAGGTTTAAATTTGATTCAAGGGCAATAACTCAACAAGTCATATAATGGTTACATAAAAATGAAAATTTACACAATTTAAATGGTTTGTCGCCTCATAATGATTTATGTTTACATAACTTTAATAAAAACAATTAGTATATAACACAACATTTAAAGAGGTACTAAAACGCAAACTTCAAATTTGAATAATTTTAAAGTTCGAAATAATCGTTGAAAAACGCAAAAAAAAACGATAAAATTTAATCTTATAATTATCGAGATATTTGCAAAATACTGTCGGTTCGTCATTTGCACACCTGAACGATTTAGTAAAACACGCCACTAACACCCTTTAATTCTACCCAGCGGAAGTGACGTGCAGTTGGTCACCCTGATCAAATACGTGTATTATATCGTATGTACATAGATCCGCTCGAAAAGTAAAATAACAGTTTTAATATATATCGGTGAAAAATACTAACCGAATCTACGTTGAGAATATTGATATACATTTATCGAGGCTTGATATTAAATCGCATAAATATCTTAATCAAATATTTACATGTATTATTTGAAAAGTATTTAAAAACTTCCAAAAGCACAAATCAACCTTTTTTTCTATCAAATATTTACATGTGCATCCAAAAGTGACAAAATAGTTATTAATCAGTTTATTGATGGTGACCGCGTAATGGAAGAAGCAGAAGTAGAACCTTGCATGTGAAGTTCCATGGCGGAGAAACTGCTTTTAAAATAGGACACTTCCAACACGTGCTTCCAAAAGACGACGGAGGTCGTAACTTGTTTATTTGTTGTTAAATAAAACTATGTGGGTTTTTCTGGGCTACAAAAATAAAAATGTTCTGACTTACTTACCGACGGACTTTAGTTACAGCAGCATTTCAAAATTATATAAGTTTATTTTCCAGATAATGTGCTTGACTGGTTTAGAAACCTGAATATGTATTGATAAAGCTATTTTCTTGAAAATGAAATACTGGATAGACTTGTAATTAACCTATACAACAAAAACCACTGAAATAAAATCTTTAGAAAAAGGGGTGTGCATTCCCAAACTACTTGAGTCCTAAATCATAAATGTTATGATCACACCAAAATTTTTTTTTTTAAATTATAACATACTGTCTTTAAGATTTTGAAATATTGACCTTTTCTTTCATTTGAAATGTTAAGCAATGACAATAAAATAACCAAACAAAACAAATATAAATCATCTCGGTCACCTTTTGATCCTGGTAATTAAAAAAGTCCGCACTTTGACACTTGTTGATAAGTAAACATCCTATAAGGTAATAAAGATCAAACAGAGTTCTATCCCTCCACTGAGGAAATTAACAACTTGGCCATACAGATATGCCACCTGTTGTTTATAAATTGATGAACTTTATAGTTTGATAATTAACATTATTCAATAGGTATTGTGAATACCCGTTTTTAACTTGCAATTTTTATTACATGGAAAAGAAGCCCTACACAACGTTTAGATAAGCCGAAGAAGTGACACTCTGTGCGTCACTTCTGGTGGATTTGTTTTTCGGGCTGTTTCTGGAAGTAACGTTGATTGGATTTTCCTAAGGTAAAAAAAGTTGAACTTTACATGCAATTATCTCTGTAATTAGTGGACCAAATTGCATCGGTTTTTTTTTGCATTTTCGATCAATTATTTCGACCTTTTCGATAAGAACTACTTGCTATGAGTGTTTTAGTACCTCTTTAAAATAAAAAAAATGCTCCTTTTGTGAGAATAAATAGATACACTCCAACATTTTAAAGAAAAGACACAGATATCGGTAAAGAAGTAAGATACAATTTTCTTTTGGGTTGAATGTACATATGTAAAATTGATAACGGAAATGGGGAATGTGTCAAAGAGACAACAACCCGACCAAAAAGCAGAAAACAACTCTAAGTACACGAAGCATTATATTCAACGTTCATATTTTGACAGAACGTATCAGTGTATTTATACACCACGCACAGCAAACACACGCCCTGATTTGCGTCAATTTTACTGGTGACTATATATCTAAACCAAGGTCAACCCATGACGTAAATATAAACGAGATAATTATTATAAAGTCATATGTACTGAACGTATCATAGCTTTAACATCCAATAGTAAATAATTCACGTATGCAAATTCTCGATGACGAGGCGTCAATGAGACAACCATCAATAAAACGAACGGACACAGAAAACAACCTACGACACGGTAATATTGACATATTCACTGTGTACAGCCATTGTTGCTTTCTACGTGAAATTATGTAAGATAAGTCAATAACCGTCCATCTTTTTAGGCCAATAACTCTTATTAGGCAATAACAGGCAATTACTGGTTTTGGTTATATTCGCCTTTTTGTAGATCGTGTATTGCTGATCATTTTTGCTGTTTGCAGTTTCTGTCGATCTATTATTGTTTTCAAGGCAACAGTAAACATATTTAATATTGGTATGAACATATAGTATTCCTGATAACTTTGCAATGTATACAGGCTGTTTTCCGCTTTTGGTCGGGTTGTTGTCTCTTTGACACATACCCCATTTCCATTCTCAATTTTATCTGTCATTGATGTTAATATCTACATGTAATAATAGCCAGAATAAAAATTGTCAAACATTTTCGTTTAAAATTCAATTAGTTAATCGATTGTTTTAATCTTATATCATCACTGTATAGGGTCACGAATTTTTGTAGATTTGATATTTTTGGTTTTAATCAGTTTAATCCAATTTATTTTAAGACTGGAAAGAAGTCACAATTAAAGGGAAAAAAATTAAAAAGGTTTCATCTGATAATTTTGATGAAAATGAGTAGTACGCAAATCTTAGCTTCTAAATTAAAGATAATTGTCTCCGTCAGGTTTCTACATTTTTGAGAGTATTTCAAAAGTAATTTAATCAAATAACAACTATGTTACAAAAGTTCATGTTTATTGCATCAGCACTATGTATTGGCAAGGAGGGATGGCAACAATGTTTCCAATTTTGCATTAAGCTGAATGTCGCAAACCTTCATGTACGGTCTGACATTTGGAACAATATAAAAATAAGGAGACGGTTACAAAATTCTGTTTCTTTAATAGAAGCCACGAAGAAAGAATAGCGATATTTCTCTTTTTGTTAAGGAATACAAAATAATAAATAATATGATGGGAAGATATATAACGATAACAAAGACAACAAAAAGAAGAATAACATAGTAAAGTTATCGGAATGGTTGTTATGATCCACCACATTTAACCACGTGATCGTTATAAAGACCAAGATCGAAGTACCACATTTGTATCAAGACTTCGGTATACTTTGAAGTTTCTAAAATTTTCTAAATAGCGCGGTATGGATATGCATAAATTTTCGTCGTTTTTTTTTTTTGTTTTTTTGCCGTGGAGTTGTCAGTTTCTCTTCGACTATGAGTTCTTAATTTTCCTTGGGTATCTTCCGCCTCTTTTCTAAAACAAATAATAAGTTCTGGCATATAACGATTGTTTTCAACAATAACGACCCATAAAATTATAAAAGCACAACCGATTACTCAATATACCGAGCTGTCTGATTCATATTTAACAATGGTACTATTTTAGTTATTGAATACAAGTATGCTTGTGTTGTACTTACTAAACGGTTTAAACTGTAAGGCTGGTCCTAGATAAGGGACAGTATACAGCCCTTTTGGTCCAGGAATTTGATGAAATGGTTTGATATCTTCTTCATGAATTGTTGAATGTGAAGTTGCTGTTGCTGTTGAATATCGAGTCACAAACCGGAGTTTATCACAGAAACGATATATTTGAACTGGTAGACTGGTACTTTTAATGAGATGCATATTGGCTAGATACCTGAATTATTTTAAACAGATATTTCAAAATCCCATCTGCAAACGTATACTTATAAAAAAAATAAACAAATATTAAAATGGTCAACTAAATTTACTATATAACGAAAAGTAATTTCTTCTTAGCATGCTTATGGTTTTCAGTAACAAACAGAGCAACTACCATAGAAGTAAAACATATCCAGTTAGAATTAAGTTTAAACTGATGAAAGGTAAAATATTACACAATTCAAATGTTTTGCCTCCTCAATATAATTTATGTTTACAAAACTTTACAAACAAAACATTGTTAGTACATAACGCACAAAATGAATAATGCTCCTTTTGCGAGGACATGTAAAGCTCCAATAATTTACACCAAACACACTGACATTGGTAAAGAAGTGATATACAATTTTCTGTTGGGTTCTTGGACACATTACTTGCCACTCAGACTCTCCGTACACAAAGCATCAAATTCAACGTCCCTATTCTGACAGAACGCGGCTGTATATTTATACATCCTACACAGAATAACGGACGCGCTTATTTAATTCGGTTTTACTTGTGACCATATGTTTAAATCTAAGTCAACTCTTTACGTATAAATATAAACCAGATAATTATCATATGTACTGAAAGTATCATAGCTTTAACATCCAACGGCAAATAGAATAAGTTACATATGCACATTCTCGATGACAAGGCGTCATTGAGACAACAATCAATAAAACGAACGGACACAGAAATCAACCTACGATACGGCCTTCGACAATGGACAACAATCTTCGCAATATGCAATGTATGTAGATCTTCTCCGTATAAACATGAAGTTAATAAATTCAATATAAACTTAATGTATTCTTATATAAATATGTTTTAAAAGCCTAAGTAAAATAGGAATAAATTATTAAGGTTCTTGATGGGTAATTTTTTAATTTCCAATGTCTTTGTCGTTTAATTTTCATATGCGATGTGTGTGCAGCTGCTGTTTATCAACGTTTACTCAGATTCAATTGAGTGTAGTCCAAATGCAACATAGAAACTGCATTATTTTTATTGACAATATCCGTTTTTTTGCACTTGAAGCTGTGTCTTCTGAAAATAATTTATATTTTTAATGTTTTTCAACACAGTCGTAAATGTCTACAGTTTTGAGTGAAGGTACTGCAAACTTATTCTATTCGCCAAAATAGCAGTTTAATCGATGGGCATGCACGTGTCAGTCTTAGATACTGGTGTAAGTATAAATACCAACGATAAACGCTCGAATTGATTGTGATGTTAAGATATGTAGGTACTTCGAGTTAATTTTTTATCAAATAACAACAGTAACACGTGTGTCATTCGGTATATCGAGAAAAAAGGTCGTGAAAGAAAAATCAACGGTGGTCAAGCATTGCGATCGGATCGTGAAAGATCTGATATCGGATCGGGAATGCAATTAAGTGTAATTTTACTTCAATATCTGTGAAAAATCTGCTGTATTTTCAAAAGGTGGAACAAATCAGAAAAAAATAAATATGTCTGTCAAAATGATTCAACTTCCTAAATAATACTGTGCACTAGGTTAAGGAAAAACATACAGTACTTTTTAGGAAAACACAAATACTCCCCCTCTCATCATATATTATTTTCAACGCTTTTGTCTACATTAATTTGTCACAAACTGTAAAATATTGTAGATTCCATAAGAATACAAGCTTCTTAAAAGGATTTAAAAAAGAAGATTCATTTATCTATACTAGGGACAGTCGGTTGGTATAAAACGATTGACGTGAATTTATGCAATGTACAGGTTCTCCATAAATAAGTAACAGAAAAGACCAGACACAGTAATTATCATTAAAGTCTAAAGAAGTTGTAAGATAGGTTTGCATCGTAGATTTAAAATATATTTATAGATTATTGAAGGTTTTACAAACGAAAGGGTGTTTCTCAGCTTCAATCTCATCGAAGGGCGACATCCCTGAGATGAGATGTGTCTTAGAAACATCCGCGAGTTTGATAGACCATTGATCATCTGTCTATCGCTATTTTGCCAATGAGGTCGTTCATGTTTACATTGACAACGTCACGTGCGCCCTTAGTTTCTGACGATAATTTTCCATCTCAAGCGAGTAGCATGATATGAAAAATTATCACCAAAAAAGATCAAAGGAGGAATGCACAAAATAGCGATAAAAGTAATTAATTTCCAGTTGAAGTTCAAGGATTCTGAAAAGGGTGCGGTACCATGACAACGTTAGGAGTAGCATTTGAAAAAAGTTTATGCATTTATTATATATGTAGCTGTGGCCCAGCACCCCCAATACTAAAATAAAAAAAAAAGAAAAGAAATAGGTATAGATATAAAAATCCGCCTCTGACTACATAAGTAGATCCGGAAAAAAATGATATATAAATTGAAAGTAAATCAATCATTTACAAATTTATAACTGTTTTCGTATGGTTCCTTCAATTTCTTCGAGTTTCAATTGAATAATGTTTAATTGTCATTTCCAAGTATTTGTGAAGAAGAGATAAGCACTTTTCCTTGGATTCCTTTTTGCTTTCACTGAACTATACATCCTATATAAGTTCTGAAGAAGTTTTACGTTATCGTTTGAAGTGAAAAAAAAATATTTGAATCTACATATTAAATTGATACAAAAAATCTAAAATTCTCTGCTCTATAGATTTTCATCAATGGAATATGAAATATACATTATAATAAATGCACCGTATCAAATACATATATGAGAACAACAACTTATAAACTGTTACGCTTCGCATGCTTAATATGGTGTAGAGACATGCATCATGAATCTAAGTCAAAAGACAAATTAAAAAAATAATTCTAAAAGCTTTCTTTGACAAATTTTAAACTATCTTCATTCTAACAAGTTTAAATTACATTTTCTAACAGAGAGCTAAGAACTGTTTGTATTGTAGTCAATTTGATTCATTTGAAATATTCAAATCCGCTGTTGGAGATTACTAAGCGCCAATAAAATACAATAATTTTATATTTTATAGATTAGTGCCTTCGATGATAAAAAGTCGAACTTTACAGTTTTCCCTTGATGTTTTTTGGTACTTTTATGTTCCATTTGATTGTATGACTCTTGACGTGGTTCGGTATATGTGTATTCAGTTTTCAGGTTTTTTGGCGTTCTTTATGCGGGTGGGTATAGAGATGCGACTCGGACACATGAGGCTTTTATCATGTTGTTTTCATTTTATATACCTTTCTATTTATATTTGACTTATTTTGTATTCTATTGGAAAAGTGTACATGTCATTATGTACGGAGCCCCTAAAATGCAATTTACATATAAATATTTTCGTTTAACGTAGATTTACTCTGGTGCGCACGTGTTTGAAATATCGTGCGCACAACATTTAAAAAACTGGCGCGCACGACTTTCAAACTGGTGCACATGAGTTTCAAAGTCGTACGCACCAGTTTTTAAAAGTCGTGCTCACCATTTTGAAAGTCGTGTTCACCATTTTTGAAAGTCATGAACTCGAGTTCGAATGGCGTGTGCTCGAGTTGGAAAGTCGTGCCCACCATTTTGAAAGTAGTGCGTCAGTTTGAAAGTCATGCGCACCAGTTTCCAAGTCGTGCGCACAATTTTTTAAACTGGTGCGCACCAGATTAAATTTCCGGAAAACGAAAATTTTAATATTTACATAGCTCTTAAGGGGCTACGTAACTATGCTTTATTATAATGTCTGTATTATCAACTACAAAAACTTTCTTGTTGACTTCTTTGTTAGATTTAATTGTTAATGTGTTTGAACGTTAATTCAGTTGTGTCGTATGTCTTGGATGTATGTTCACACAGTTTTTGGCTGCTGGATCCCAGTGATGGCCACTTTAACTAATTATGTCTGTTTGATTTGCTTATCTAATTTGCCAATATACCGGAACATTAACAACTGTCATACAAGTGGGCGTATTAGCTAGCATAAAAAACAGATTTAACCCAATATTTTCTTAGGAAAATGCATGTGCCTAGTAAGGAATATGACAGTTGTTTTCCTACGGGTTTTTTTTAACAATGTTTTATTTTTTATTTTTACAAAAACTAACATGGATCTTCGTTCTATAGATATGATTGTGCATAAAAATTAATGGAAATCAGATGAGACAATCTTAACTTTTCAAACAACATAAAACCTATGCAGAACGGAACGACGGACTTATATTGTTATAAGAAAACTAGTCGGTGTGGTATTATCAAATAATGTGATCCAATGTCACTGAACCAGCATAGCCCTATTCACAAACAAAAGTGAAGCGGATTAAGTCATGCAAATCCAATCTTTCGTTATACCAATTACAGATATAAATTATCATGTTGTTAAAGAAAGAATTTATCGTTTTGTGGATTTTTGCAATAACGAATTAGCGGCAACAGATCTTCCACGATCCTTTTCACGATCATCAAAATGCGGTTACCGATCTGTCACGATCCGAAATGTCATATTTTTACAAATATTACCATTTTTTGCAAAGTTTCTGATTAAACTAAAACAAAAATGCATTAAAAATTTGAAAAATATCATGTTTGTTTACATTTTTATTTCTTTGAAATTTCGCTGAGCAATCTGCCTTTTGCAGTTTTGTACATGTGCAAAAATATGTCACATTTCCAAGCGAGATAACCCAATCGTTTAATATTGGACAGTAGATAATTAACGATAACTCCTAACTCCTTCCAATAGATGTCGTTGCAATTACTAATCTTGTTGACATGTCGCTGAAAACTATTAAATTAGCGTCTTCACGGGAGTTATAAATTACAATACTTGAGTTAGTTTAGTGGTCTATAGAATGACTATGATATTGAGAGCGAAATCGCGTCGAGATTATAAATCAATGTACGAAGGGGAAATTATATCGAAAAATTTGGGAAAAAAATACATAATTTTTGTTAATTGATCTAGAATGACATTTTTTAACAAACAGTCATAAAACGTATCTCATGAGTTTTGATGTTCATAGATCTTAAAAAATTACAATCTAGGAGATTATATAACATCCTTTTTACCATGAAACTTAATATTTTCATTTGTCCTTATGTAACAGAGACGATGAAATTGGTACCAAACCGTTGCTTATTGCAGTTTAATCACCATTAGTAATGAAATTACATTTATTTATTTGGTTTTTTTAATAAAACTACATGGCATAATATAAGCTGTGTTCTTAATAAACTTATAAACACCAGCATATAAAAGTTTGTCTAGCTTTCTGATAATAGGCTATATATATTCATTCATTTACAATCATTCATTTATGCTTTGAACAAATAATTTTGCTTTAAAATGATGCTATATATGTATTTGAAGAAATAATTTACAAGCTAGATGTTTTTCATTTTTTAAATGTTTTATGTAAAAACGGATAGACATATCTTAACCATCTTTTGATAGGTAAGCAGACAAAAATGTTCAATAAATCACTTTTAGACAATTGTTGAAAATTAAAGATATAAATTCTAAGACTAAATAATTGAAGAATAAGTCATTTGACAGTTAGAATATATTTTTATTGATATTGATAAGTAGAGCTCTCTCTGAGTGATAAGTAAAGATTTTTCAATTGTAATAACTAAAGACACGGAACAAGATTTTTGGAAAGGGGGATTCCAACAAGGCAACGTTCATAGTTTAAACACATTAATTATATCAAAAGTAGCTCCTTAAGAAAGAGGGGCTCCATCAGTCTCTGGTAATAATTATAGAAAAGATATGTTTGCTCATCATGAAGCAAATTAGGTCGCAAGCGCTTTTAGAGTGGGCCCCCCTTTTATGTGTGTTTA